CGAATTTTATCATGAGTTACTTTTTAATTCTCTAACAAGTCCAAGTATCTTTCCCTTGTTCCTTCTCACTTGAATTTCATAGTGTTCCTTCTTTATAATATACCCTTTTTATAAGAATTTAACTCTTGCTCAAACTTAATAAAATGAAAACACTAGATTAGATATTGCAAAATGTGGCTTTTCTCTTTACATTACTATTGTTTAATTACAGAACTCTTTCTTTACTGCTGGGAAAGAGAATATACTTCCTGACATTTAGGAGCTGGCCTGGTCTTATAGGTAGCTACTTGGCATTCAAAGGGACATCCTGGTATTCTCTTGTTGAACTACACGATTTCAAAGAGTATCAACATCAGACCAGGCCATTCTTTGACCACGAAAGATCAAAACAAAAGCAAGTATGTACAATTAACCTTTAAACAACATGGATTTGAATAGTACAAGTCTACTTAACCACAGATTTTTTTGACAGTACTATAAATGTATTTTATGATTTTTAGTAACATTTTGTCTACCTTGTAAGAATAGAGAATGTAATACATACACCATACAAAACATATATTATACATATATATGTTAGGGGTTAGAGTTCTGGTCAAGAGTAGGCTGTGAGTATAGTTAAGATGACGGCAGGGGGAGGGAGTTAAAAGTGCAGGGGTTGATGCTCCTAACCCCCACATCATTCAAGGGTCAACCATAATCTTATGTCTGAATAAGAACATTGTCCAAAACACAGAGTACCAAACAATCCATAAGTGATAAGGCCACAGTAAGGTATAATGAGTGGACACTCCAGCTATAGTCTACATTATTAACATACTTGGCAAAGACCAGTGATCACTGGTCTAAATATTTTTAGTTCTAGGTTAGTTTAACACACAGTTTTTCTTCTTTCATGATCTTAAACAAACTGATTTATTGAAAGAGCTCAACTTAAACAACTAATAAGTACATTAGCAATTTCAGAAATTTGAAAACACAGGAGAAAAATACAGTGACTGTAATTTTCCTCATAATCAATTTAACTTCTCTGAGCTTAAAGTGAAGAGCGTTTTCCAGCAGTTGGTCCCTAATCATCAGATCTTCTCAGGTTCAATGAACTGTTTTCTGTTTTCACCACAAACTTTCAATTCATTCTTCCAGGGCTTTCTGACTCAATTAAAAAGAAAAGGCCTTAATTAACCTCTCTAGCATTCCTCTATCAGTTAGAAATATCTGAGCTATTCTTTCTGGTTTCTTTGCCTTATAATTTCCTGGCTCTGTATTCTGTGTGCTCAGACAGATGAATTAACAACTAGGTTAGTCTTCATTTCTTTTATCTCCCTTTCCCCACTAGCCTTCCCAATCAAATACGTAGCAGAATGTTTTAATCATCATCCGCATTAGTTTTCTGAAGAAGGACAGGCATTTGAACATAAGAAATGATTATTTCTCAAACACTAGTTGCTTTTTTGCAATGACTTAGGCGTGAACTTTATTTCTTTAAAAAGCTAACAATAAAGCAAAACTTAAGCCACAAAAGGAAGAGCAAATTAAACAAATTTACTCTTCAGTGCAGTTGCATTTAGGTGAGTTTAAGACAAAAAGGAGAAAAAAAAACAAGCAAACAAGTAAAAGGCAAGGGACTGATGATTACGGCACTTAAAATGCAGGGGAGATCCGTTCTCTGTGAAATCACAGAGAAAGAGAAGAAAAGAATACATAAATCACAATTTAATTTTTAGTGAAAATAAGTTGTAAGGTTTCACTGGCAGCAATAACTAATGTCATCCTCTTTCTGGGCAGAATACTTGAGTGCTTATTTTATTTTATTTTTAAAAGATTTTATTTATTTATTTGACAGAGATCACAAGTAGGCAGAAAGGCAGGCAGAGAGAGAGGAAGAGAAACAGGCTCCCTGAAGAGGAGAGAACCCGATGCAGGGCTCAATCCCAGGACCCTGAGATCACGACCTGGTCCGAAGGCACAGGCTTTTAACCCACTGAGCCACCCAGGCGCCCCCTTGAGTGCTTATTTTAAATATTCTCATCATATAGAAATTATTTCCAACTCCTCAAAAACACCAGCTGATATAATTATATAAAACAAGTTTTCTATATAATCAACAAAAACCCTGCTGAAACTAGAATTAAAAAAAGAGAAACACTACAGTCCAGTAGGTTGTCATAACTCACACACACTATTTTTTAAGAAGCTGCAAAAAGTTGAAGATATTAAGGACACCGATGCAACAAAACTGCACCATTCTCAATTCAAAGTAATAAACTCAGAGTCAATGCCATTTTTCAGGAGACATATGCAAGCATATTCATTACTGAGTGAAGTATTATCTTCATACCATGAAGAGTGATAGCAGTTTGCCGGCCTTTCCCAGGTGCATACAATTGTATTAGTAATATTCAAATTATTTCAGATGTCTTTCCTTATACTTTTAACATTTTCCATTTAAAAAGATCAAAAAGTAGAAAATACCCCTTTGGGATGGAATGTTAAACTTGATGACCTTCTAATGTCACAACAATTCTACAGTTCTGTGTGTTGACTTAACTATCAGCATGTAGAGAGCTACAACGACAGTGGATTAAGTTCCTCCTAATTTATCAAGTAAAACTTGTCACTCTAAAAAAGCAACAGGAATTGAAGCTCATTTCAAACTACCCTTAAAGAGAAGCTTCAAGCTGAGGAAATCTATTTAACTGGAATAAAATCATGAGGGGAAAAGTCACACAAACTAAAAACCTATGGACCTGAACTCTTCAAAATGTTGGTATCATGAAAAACACAAAAAGATGGGCAAACTGTTCCTAATTTTAAGAGACTGAAGAGACACAATTGAATACTATGTGATCTGTAACTGGGGGTGGAGGGGCAAATAACTAAAAAGGGCATTTTTAAGCAACAGGGAAAATGTAATGTCAAATTTCTTGAGAGTGATAATGATATTGTGGTTATGTATAAGGATTTCCTTGTTCTTGGGAAATGCTTCTTCCAATATTTAAAGTTCATGTCTGCAACTTAAAATTTTAAATAGGCTTACCAAATAGAAATTTTATATAAGCAACATTTTTTCCCTGAACATATTTAAATTCATATATTTTTTAAAAGAGAAAGAAACTAAACATGGCAAAATGCTAACAGAGTGTGAATCCATCAGTGTTCTGTCAATTTTTATGTAGGCTTTTAATATGGCTATGAAATTTTTTAAATAAACTGGAGAAAAACAGGATATAAATCAATCTAAGTAGTAATTAGATTCTAAGTTTTTACTTAAAACACAAATTTTTCATATCACAGAAAAACAATAATTTTTTAAGTAGGTTCCATACCCAACATGGGACTTGAACTCACAGCCTTGAAATCAAGACTTGAAACCAAGGCTCTGAGAACTGAGCAACCCAGTTGCCTCCAAATAACAGAAAATTTTTAACTCAAGAGTTAAATGTTTCAACAGAAGTTTAAAAATTTAGAAGTTTTGGGGCACCTGGGTGGCTCAGTGGGTTAAAGCCTCTGCCTTCGGCTCAGGTCATGATCCCAGGATCCTGGGATCGAGCCCCACATCGGGCTCTCTGCTCCGCAGGGAGCCTGCTTCTCCCTCTCCCTCTCTCTGCCTGCCTCTCTGCCTGTCAAATAAATAAATAAAATATTTAAAAATAAATAAATAAATAATAAAAATTTACAAGTTTTAAACTTAAAATTTATTAACTATAGACAACTAAAACTCAGTAAAAACTAACTACCATAACCTTCTCTGAACCCAAAATGAATATGAACACGTTATACCTCCTAACAAAGGATTTAATCCTCAAAGTAGAAGTATTAAATTGGTGACATGCCTACAAAATATACAATTATTTGGTATGAATTGCCCATAACTAAGATAATTAGGGTTTAATAAATGAAGGCATGCAAATAAACATGCATATTTATTTATTTACAATAACTTTTTTATAGAAATAGGTAGGCACAGTTGTAAATTCATAAAAAATTAACTGTTAATTATGAAAACAGGATGATTCTTTTAATCAGTCCTAAAATGGTTTTCATAATAAATCTTAAAATATAGAATTGATATAATACAAAGATCCCTCCTGTATATTCCTATCATCAAGACAAAAAGTAACTTTGCAACCAAGAGCTATCGAATATGATTGCTAGGCATTTACTGGTGCTACTACACTAAACTTTCTGGGACTTGTCAAGTTTTTTTCAAATGTTATAAAGAATTATTTGAATATAACTTGGAATTTAGTGTTTGTTGAAGTCTTTTCTTTTGGCAGACAATTTAATATTTATTCTCTTGTGATTTTTTTTTTTTTGTAATTATGTAAGAAACATGTTCATTCTAAAATTTTCAACTATCTACCTCTCTCTCTATTGGACCAGGTAAGCACTTAACATTTTGGAACGTTCCACATTATCTTCAGTGTGTATCAAACTAAGCCTAGACTATACGCAGCAAGAGAACACTGACCATGTCCTTTTATTTCTCATCATTAACTATAATCCTAGGTCCCAATACAGTACTTGGCAAAAGGTGGTCTTTAAATAAATATTCAATGATGTTCAGTTCATTTATAATGTTACACAAGTTTTTTTTTCAACCTAAACTATAACGTAAATATTTCATGCCAATATTGATGGAACTATATTAAATTCCTCGCTATGGCTGTATATAAATAGCATAATCAACAGCAGACACCACCATTGTTAATAGTTTCTCATCATTACAAATAATAGGACAATAAATACATGTAAATATATAAATTTAAGGATACCTAAGTATATACATGCATGTATCCACAGCATTTAATTAAAAGGTCATTTAAAAGTTTTTATAATTTATCTCCACATTGCTTTAAACTATCATATGGTAAGTTTTATATATATGAAAGTTAATACAACACTTTTTACTTCTGTATTTTTGTTTGTTAAAACACAATAGAAATCTTAATAAAATTACATGTTCTTAAGTACAGAAAGCCAGGGGGAAAAAATCTTACCATTCTTGCTGACATCCAGTTCCCTGAGATTAATGAGATTTGCAATAGATGCTGGTAATGTTGTTAAATCATTGTCTGGCAAACTCAGTTTGTGTAGAGACTGACAGTTAAAAAGTTGCTATTGAAACAAGGGAAGAAAGGATTTTGATTATTTAAGTTTCCTTAAATATTTCATTTGTTAACCTTTATACAAATAAATATTATTAGTGTGGTTAAACTTAATGAATTATACTTACAAAAACATTAGGAAAGATCTCTTATCGTTTCATGTTACTATGGGTCTGAACACAAGCAAACTAATCATTTATATCCTCATACTTCTGCCCTAAGCAAAATTTACTCAGAAAGAATAACAATGTGGGGGGCGTCTGGGTGGCTCACTGGATTAAACCGCTGCCTTCAGCTCAGGTCATGGTCTCAGGGTTCCAGGATAGAGCCCCATATCTGGCTCTCTGCTCAAAAGGGAGCCTGCTTCTCCCCACCCACCAGTATCTCTGTCTGCCTCTCTGCCTACTTGTGATCTCTCTGTCAAATAAAGAAATAAAATCTTAAAAAAAAAGAAAGAATAAAAATGTGGTGTGTTCTTATTAAAGTAGTAAAAAAATAAGTGGCTATTAAATATGGCAAACTTTGGAACTTGTATTTCAAATATTTTTACTCCAAAATGAAAATATACATAAATTAACCCCAAATATGACAACTGACTCAGAATGACTCAAAATATTTAATTCTGACTTGGGAGAACAAAAAAATTTATAAACAAATATATTCTTACACCAAAATCACAGTAATAAAATGTACTTATTTATTTTTATAAAATGTATTTAAAATAAAGTATATTTAACCAAAAGTGTAGGTAAATGGGTCACTTCTATACTTCATACCAAAAAACTGTGTGGAGCACAGAGAATTTTTAGGGCAATGAAAATACTCAGTATGATACCAAATCACAGACACATTTCATTATACATTTGTTTAGGCTCATACAATGTACAACACCAAGCATGAACCATACTATAAGCTATGGACTTTGGGTAATGATAGTTTTTCAATATACATTCATCAATTTTAACATAAATGCCACTCTGATAGAGAATGTTGACAATGGTGGAGGCTATGAATGCGTGGGGATAGCGTAGGTATATGAGAATTCTCAATTTTGCTATGAATCTGAAACTGCTCTTAAAAAGTAGTGTTTATTAGCAAATCAAACAAAAAACTATTATCAGGATAACACTGAATAAGCCCTTTTTAAGAAGAGCATTCTTCCAAAAACTGAAAGAAGTACAAGTGATTCAATTATCTGCACTATCACAGCAAGACTCTCTTTTCTATTCAATCACCAAGCTAAAACCCTACTAGTGCTTATTACAGAAAGGGACTAATCTTGGACTTCCAAGTTCTCCAGAATAACTAAGTAAGATAAATTACTTTCTAAAGAACAGTATGTAAGGAAACGGTAAATTACAAAGCACCTTATTACAACCTAGGGAAGTAATTCATAAACATGCAACCCATAATCTTTAATATTTTATCCACAACCATACACAGATTTCTTTATAAGACAATCTTGGATGGCACAGGCCTTTCAAATGTTTTTACTACTAACCACCAAAGGAAAAGCCTTTTTCAAAGCACTGTCATAAAACATGTATATACACGTGTACACACACACACATACACACACACAGAGAAATCTAACACATAGATTCCATGCACCAATGGACACATGCAACACACTGTACTTTCTATTCGATTTTAGTTATGGTTGCCAGATGAAATACAGGATGCCTGATTAAATTTGGATTTCAGATAAATAATGAGTAATTTTTTTAAAAGATTTTATTTATTTGTATGACACACATAGAGCACAAACAGGGAGACCAGGAGAGGGAGAAGCAGGCTCCTTGCTGAGCAGGGAGCCCAAGGCAGGGCTGGATCCCAGCACCCTGGGATTATGACCTGAGCTGAAGGCAGGTGCTTAACCAACTGAGTCACCCAGGTGCCCCAACAATGAATAATTTTTAGATGTACATCCTATTTATTGCATAAAACACACTTATACTAAAAAATACTCATTGTTCACCTAAAAATTATAATTTAACAAAGTGTTCTCTATTTCTATTTTCTAAATCCACCATGGTAAATCATAGCTCCTTTTTTTGGAAATGCCACACATGCTTATGAGTCACCAATACATCTCCATCCAGTTTTGATAAACACTACTGTTTGGGTAGTAAAACATTCTAACAAATTAAAACTACTGAACAAACTGAGGGTTGCTGGAGGGGAGGTAGGTAGGGGATAACCTAAATGTGTGATGGGTAATAAGGAGGGCACTTCTCATGTTGAGCAATGGATGTTATACATAAGTGATGAATACTAAATTCTATTCCTAAAACCAATATTACACTAGATGTTAACTAACTAGAATTTAAATAAAAATTTGGGGAAAAAAAGCTACCGCAGTTTTTCCATAATAAACAAGAAAATGAGTTGAGAATAAAGAGGCATTTTTTTAAGGATTAAAAAAAGTAGCCACTGAAAAATTTTAGCACAGAAACTGGTAATGTGAGACGATATAGCATGGCAGCAAAACAAATTTCCTCCATCTAGTTGTTCTTAGATTTCAGAAATGTTATGTCCCCCAAAACCTTTCCAAACAAACTAAAATGGGATAAATAGAACAATACCTCTAAAAACCTGCTTAATAACAAAATTATTAGGTGACAACAAAAGGACAATTTATTCTTAATTATAATAATGTAGATCAATGTCATTAAAACTAGAAAAAGTATTAATTTCTATTTCTGTCTAGCTAAATCTATTGGCTTCAGAAATCATGTAGTCTTACCTACCATAGGGGCTACAAAAAATGGAAATTAAATACAGACCTTTAACTTAAAACTTGCTCAAATACTCAAGCAATTAACTTGAAGAAACAAAGGTTAAAATTCTATTTAAAAAATACTGGAGGTGCCTGGTAGTACAGTTGGTTAAGCATCCAACTCTTGGTTTTGGCTCGGGTTGGGATCTCAGGGTTGTGAGATGGAGCCCTGTGTAGGATTCCAGGCTCAGCTAAGAGACTACCTGAGATTCTCCCTCTCCCTCTGCCCTTCTTCCTGTTCACATGCTCTCTTTCAATAAATAAATCTTTAAAAAAAAATTCAAGTTCTGTTGCATATCCTAAAATAAAATTAAACCAAAAAAGAAAAGAAAATAGAAACAATGGAAACACAAACATATTGGCAGCATTATGGTTACACCAGGGATATGGTATTTCTTGCATAAAAATAACCAAAGACAATTCTTAAAAGACTGTATGAATATACCTTTGGAAGCTCTTCAATCTGATTAGCATCTAAATAGAGCTCCTCCAAAGTTTTCTCAAAAGTAAAAATCTCTTTGGGAACCTGTTCCAAACTGCAGTGAGAATAATCAAGAGTAGTGACAGTCTCCTCTTCCCCTCGTAGACAACGACATGGTACCAACCGCACAAACAAACTTCGTTTTGTAGTCATTTTTAGACACTGCAATATTGAAATAAAAATACACTTAGTTAAAACACACGTTAAAATCAACAATTTTCCCAAAAATAACTCATTTATCACGATCTATGTAGCAAATATAAGTACATCCTTCTTTATACTCATACAATGGAATACATTCAAACATATTGTTACTGTCAGAATTTATATACATTTATATATACTGAATTTCAAATGAAACTAAGTACTTCTGTACTTTAAAAAATGACCTGTTAAATACCTATTTATATGCTTCTGTAAGAAACATGCTTTATGAGTCTTGCTTATTCTCAACTAGAAAAACCCTAATACAACAAAGATACTTCTTTAATTTCTGGGTAAGAGCTATTTTTTTTTTTTTAAGATTTTATTTATTTATTTGACAGACAGAGATCACAAGCAGGCAGAGAGGCAGGAGGGATGGGGGGGGAACAGGCTCCCCGCTGAGAAGAGAGCTGGAAGCGGGTCTCGATTCCAGGACCCTGCATCTGGCTCCTTACACCGCAGGAGGCCTGCTTCTCGCTCTCCCACTACCCTTGCTTGTGTTCCTACTCTCGCTATCTCTCTCTCTGTCAAATAAATAAATAAAATCTTTAAAAGAAGAAAAAAAAAAAAAAAGAATCATCACCCCTTTAACTTTCCAAGGCTCTTCCACATCAAAATTTCAATACATGCCAAGTGAATTTTGTTTCAATTAAATATTGGTCTTTTAATTTTTCTAAACAGCTTATAGGTCCTATATTTGTGTAAGGTTACACATTAGAGAATAAACTTGCTTCAATAAAGTATATACAGACTTCATTGTTTCAAACTAAATGGGAGAAAGGTTTAGTTCTGAATTAGTGAAAATTCTCCAGGCTAATTTTAACCTATCCATAGCTTAATTCCAACCAATCTAAGATTATATTACCAAAGACAAGCCTACGTCAATAAGTAAGAAAGACTGTTAATCAGTTAACAACTCTTTGTAAAATATAAATTCTCACCTTAATCAGAAGACAATTAGAATAACAGAATACTTCTAACCAGAGCCAAGATTATATTGAAGCCAGTGAGGGAAACTGCCTCAAGCACAAAATAGAAGGAGGCACCAAAAAAAACTTAATCAAATTAAATATTTTAATGCTTTATTTTTTAATTAAAATCACTGAAAATTAATCTGTTTATGAACAAAATGACTAATTTTTAAATAAGGACAGGAATGGTATTTTTTCTTTTGCCTCAGACTTCAATATGGCTCTGCAAGGCACTGCTACCAACTTCTATTTCAAATTACATGATAGTCTTAGAGTGTTTGACAACTAAATATTTCCCTCGCAATCTTTTTAAAAATAAGACTATTCTTAGTCAATCACCATGTGCCAGGCACTGTGCTAAGTTCTTTAGATAATATATGCATGTTCTCATTTCAAACTCATATATCTAAGACATGTACTATTATCCCTATTTCTCCATAAAGAAACTGTTCCTGTGCTCTTATTGCCTTATACTACTTCTCAATACATAATGATATATTAGAACTCAGGTTCTCAAGATGATTAAAATATCAATAGGTCTTTATTAGGCACTTCTCCTTTAGGGCTTACAAAAATAAAATACTGATGGGGTTCAGAACACACCACTCAAATACAGTACCTTGACATATTGAATACTTTCAACTGAAGGAATGTGAGAAAACAGCAGAAGCAGGAAGGTCATGCTGGCCTCCCCTTTTACTTCTCCACTGAAATAGGTCATAAAATCCTCATGTGAGAGGTGCCTTCCTTATACCTGGAGGAAAAGAGCAGCCCAATCTCTCAAGAATGGAGAAGAATCCTAACAAATGGGCTTTACTTAACTTCCCCCCAGTTTACTACACTTATGTCATACTCTGACCTATCATATTTGTACCCAAGTCTACACTCTTCATATCTAGCATAAATATATTAAGTTTTAATGGTTTCTTTACGTCATAACTCCTCGTAAAGGCTCCTGTGCCACTTAAAATTTGTATGAAATAAATTTGCATGCTTTCTCCTGTTAAAACTGTTTTTGTCAGGTTAGTTTTCAGACCCAGCCAAAGAACCTGAGAGGGTCAAGGAAAAATTCTTCCTCCACTACACTATGATGTCAAACATAAAAGTTTCTACATAAAATCTTTGTTTCATGGGAATATAACACATAGCATGGTGACTACAGTTAATAATACTGTACTGCATATTTGAAAACTACTGAAAGAGTAGATTTTAAAAGTTCTCATTTCAAGAAAAAAAATTTGTAACTACATATGGTGATGGATGTTAATTAGATTTTTTATGGTGGACACTTAGCAATACACATATATACTGAATCATCATTATGCTGTACACCTGAAAGTAATGTAATGCTACGTCCATTACACTTCAACAAAAAACAAAAAAAAGACTTTGTCAGCAAATATCCAGAAAAGTTTACTGAATATTTATTAATAATCTATGTTTATATGTGGGTGTGTTTTACTGATCAGAATAAGCAGTTTTGTTGATCTAATAAGAATTTCATTGCTGAAAAGGAATTCAGCTTATCCTTGTGTGTTTATGACATCCCCAAAATAAAAGATTCCAAAAATGAGTATGAAATTTCTTGCTCAAGAGATTATAAGATTTCAACTGATAATGAGTTAAGAGGACATTTAAGAACAATCTTAAGGGAACTCAATCTGCTCTTTCCAATGGCAGCCACTAGACATGTGGCCATTTTAACTTAACCATTTTTAACTTAAAATTCAAGTTAAATCAAATAAAATTAAACATCTAGTTTCTCGCACTAAGCACATTTTAAAAGCTCAATAGCCCCATGTGCGCCTATTGGCTACCATACTCAGAGAAGACAGAGAAAATTTCTCTCGGTGCAGAAATTTCTGTGGGACAGTGTTGGTCTGGTGTTTGAAAATATTCTGGTTAATCAAATTATAAATACTATACGCTTATATTTTTGTAATATGATAGTACCCAAGAACTTGGAAGATGTGGCCTAAAAATTTCTGAATCATAATGGATTTGGGAGTATAAATGCTAGCTGCGAAGAAAGGGCATGAAATGTTTACTACCAAATACATGTATTTAAAAGAGTGTATTTAGGGGCACCTGGGTGGCTCAGTGGGTTAAACCTCTGCTTTCAGCTCAGGTCATGATCCCAGGGTCCTGGGATCCAGCCCCACATAGGGCTCTGTTCAGCAGGGAGCCTGATTCCCTTCCTCTCTCTGTCTGCCTCTCTGCCTACCTGTGATCTCTGTCTGTCAAATAAATAAATAAAATCTTAAAAAAAAAAAAAAGAGTATTTATTTTAGATGCTATCATCTATGCAACATACTTGAAGCATAAGGCAATTTACAAGACAGAGTAATTGTTAATGAAGCTAAAACAACCTCCAAGGTTTTTCTGTAGTGGTAACCATAAACAGATCATGTTGCAGTCAGACAGATGGTCAGAAATTGTAAAACTTCTCAAAAGAGACAATGAATTCAGAAAAGGAAATCAGATGCTCTACAAAACAGTTTACATTTTAAGTAAAAATTTCCTGTGGACAGAGGCTACGAAGAGAGCAGTTTAGACCTCAGATTAAATTCAGCGGGCCTCAAGCCAATATTAAAATGGACCCTAATTTATCAGACTAAAACTGCTGACTGTTAAGAAAGGAGGGGGAACTTACTTATTGAGGGTACAGGAGGTAAATACCATATGGCAGAGAAAGGAATGCATAATAACAACCAAATAGAACCTCCATTACACAATATTATAAGGAAGTAAACCAAAGGAAGCCTGGCCTGTTCTAAAAAGGAAGTGATCAACATGGGAATGTTCATTAGAATTTTAGTGTTATGATAAGCAAGAGTCACTTTATAAATCAGACTTAACACGAGAGACATAAAAATATTCTTATCAAATGGAGAGAGAGAAACCAACTAAGAAAAAAAAGACATAACAATAAGCCAAACATTTTCTAACAAAAGAAATTAAAGCTACTTACCACTGGGTTGAATTTATCTCCCTGATGTTTCTTAATTGAGCCAACATTCTATGGAAACCAAAATAAAAAAACAAAATTAACAATAAAAATAGATCATTATGACTTTAAGGGATCATCTCTTCTAAATTCCTTCCTCAAAATGTAAATTATAATTCTCAAAAATTCACTAGTGTAAACACACAAATTTGCGAAATTCTAAATACATACCTAGCTTCTTAACAGTCACTGGATTGTTTTTAATATATTTGTTAACTGTGGTGAGCCCTCATCTATATCAAATAATAAATAACCACTTAACATTAAAATCCCATTTATCTGAACCTACTGAAAACAGCAAAGTTTTTCCAAGCAGATAAATCCAAATCACCAATTATATTTAAATTTAGTAGTTGGGGTTTTTTTTTTAAGATTTTATTTATTTATTTGACAGACAGAGATCACAAGCAGACAGAGAGGCAGAGGGGGAAGCAGGCTCCCCACTGAGCAGAGAGCCCGATGCGGGCCTTGATCTCAGGACCCTGAGATCATGACCTGAGCCGAAGGCAGAGGTTTAACCCACTGAGCCACCCAGGTGCCCCAAATTTAGTAGGTTTTTAAAAAATATTTCATTTATTTGAAAGAGAGCAAGTGAGAGTGAGCAGGATAAGGGGGAGAGAGAGAGACGGAGAGAGAATCTGAAGCAGACTCTGTGCTGAGCATGGAGCCCGACTCACGGCTCGATCTCAAGCAGGAGTTGGAGGTTTCACCAACTGAACTACCCAGACACCCCTAAATTTAGTAGTTTCTGATGGTTCTGTAAAGCAGACAATGGTTAACAGCTGATCATATTGTATTCCTCCCATTTAAGAAATCTTAGTTTCTTTGGGGCAGTAGTGGACCCAGTTAAATATCCACAATTGGAAGGCTCAGGGGTTGGAGGACGTAGTTGAGATCAGTGACGTATTAAGTCTGCTTTGGGGATGGAATGGGGCTGGTTATGGGCAAACATTTGTTTTCCTTATTCAGGGATAGATGTAAACATGTCTACTGCTGTAACAACAATCCTATGACCATAAGTCAACAAGTGGGAGTATTAAAAACAACTAATAAGGCTAACAAAGTAGAAAAACAAAACAAGTTGGGGATTTCTATAAGCACTACTGAGCAGCTGGACCAATGTTAACTACTGCCTTCTTCCGGATTTCCTGGTATGTAAGAAAACTAAACTCCCATTTATTTAAACCATTGTGAAGTTTTCTGTATCTACAGACATAATACAAAGTGAAATATTACATAGTCCATACTGCAAAGTAAAACAGCCTAAACCCAAAACAGTAACATTAATAAAAAGTATACATATCATAATCTTATTAAAAAATTCAGTAATGCTAATAAATTTGTTTCAACATTTTAGTTACCCTAAATTTACTAAGCTATTTTTCTCTGTGCCAAATGGTTTTAGTACTCCTGTTGTTTAAACTTCCCCACAAATTCCACTTACATTACATGTCACAAAAAAATACCTGTGTGTACAGCAAAGATGGTCACTAAATTTTTCATTCAGTATACTCCTACATATGTAATAATCTGGTAGAATGGATTTGCCAATAAACTGAAACAGAATATGGCTATGGAAGAGCAAGTTGGAGAGAAGAGAGATGCGAAACCTGTATTTAGAAACACTAGTTTATAGTACCTGATAGATGTTCTAGTGAGATCTTTAGTAAGCAGTTGAATATGGTCATTCAGAGATGTGGCGACAGAGTAGTAGCAAGAATAAAATGTAAATTAAGAGTCACAACATTTGATTTGTGAACAGATAGGAATAATATAGTTAAAGGAGCCCACTGGTAAATTTTTATAGAGATTTGGGCAACAATTCATAGACTGTCCTAGCAAGATGTCCACCAATAAAAAAGCTGCTCATGAGGAGGAAAATAGGACATACTTTTGGTGAAAAGGTATAACTAGCCAAATAAAACTCACATAGGGTATTTATAAAAAATATAGATTACTAAGCTTTCTTTCTAAAGATTCTTTTTTTCCAAGACATTATTATTTGAGAGAGAGAGCACGCGTGAGTGAGTGGGCATGAGAGTGGGGGGAAGAGCAGAGGGAGAGGACCATCAGACTCTACCCTGAGCATGGAGCTCAAGCTGGGTGGGAGCCACCCAGGCGCCCCTTTACTCGATCCCGGGACTCGAGGATCACGACCTGAGCTGAAGGCAGTTGCTTAACCAACTGAGCCACCCAGGCGCCCTGGAAGAGTTTTAAAAGGATAGGTATTAAGTGTTCTTTGAATACTCACCAGTGAAGCTATCTAGTCCTAGCCAGAGCAATTAGGCAAGGAAAAGAAATAAAAGACATTCAAACTGGAAAAGAAAAAGTAAAACTCGGGGGTGCCTGGATGGTTCAGTGGGTTAAGGCCTCTGCCTTTGGCTCAGGTCATGATCCTGGAGTCCTGGGATCAAGCTCCACATAGGGCTCTCTACTCAGCAGGAAGACGGTTTCCTCCTCTCTCTCTGCCTGCTTCTCTGCCTACTTGTGATCTCTGTCTATGAAATGAATGGATAAAATCTTTAAAAAAAAAAAAAAAAAAAAGAAAAACTGTCACTATTTATAGACCACATAATAGTATACGTAGAAGCCTCTAAAGACTCCAACAAAAAAAACTGTTAAAACTAATAAGTGAATTCAGTAAGTTGCAGGATACAAAAATCAGTTGATTTTCTACACACTAAAATTTTCAGAAAGAAAAATAAAACAAGCCCATTTATAATTATATCAAAGAACAAAATACCTATGAATAAAGTTAATGGAGTAAGTGAAAGACCTAAATATCAAAAATTCTAAGACATTAATGAAAGAAATTCAAGATACAAATAAATGATAAGCTATTCCATACCATGAACTGGAAGAATCAATAGGGATAAAATGTCCATACTACCCAAAGCAATCTAAAGAGTCAGTGCAATCCCTAACAAAATTCCAATGCCATTTTTCAAAAAATATGGTCAATTAATTTAAAACAAAGGAGCCAAGGATACGTAAGGGGTAAAGGACAGTCCCTTCAATGAATGATAGTGGGAAAACTACAGTCAAAGGCAGAAGAATGAAACTTGACCATTACCTTATATCATACACAAAAATTAACTCAAAATGGATTAAAGATTTGAACCTGGGGTGCGTGGGTGGCTCAAGGGTCCAAATCTTGATTTCAGCTCAGGTTATGATCTCAGGGTCATGAGATCAAGCCCTGTGTCATGTTCTACACTCTAACACAGAGTGTGCCTGTCCCTCTCCCTCCCCGAGCTTGCATGTGCTCTCTCTTCCTAATAAATAAAATCTTAAAAAAAAAAAAGATGAACTTAAGACCTAAAACCATAAAACTCATACAAGGAAACAGAGCTTAGATAAGCTTGACATCTGACAACAAAGGCAACATTAAGTAAATAGGACTACATCATACTAAAAAAGCCTCTGGCACAGCAAAAGAAACCATCAGCAGAAGGAAAATATAACCTACAGAAGGGGAGAAAATATATACAAGTCGTAAGTGACTAATATTCAAAACATATAAAGAACTCATACAACTTAATGACAAAAAGTCCAATTAAAAAATGGGCAGAAGGGGCGCCTGGGTGGCTCAGAGGATTAAACCTCTCCCTTCAGTTCCAGTCATGATCTCAGGGTCCTGGGATCGAGCCCCGCATCAGGCTCTCTGCTCAGCAGGGAGCCTGCTCCCCGCCCTCTCTCTGCCTGCCTCTCTGCCTACATGTGATCTCTCTCTCTGTCAAATAAATAAATATTAAAAAATAATAATAATAATAAAAATAAAAAATGGGCAGATTGGAAAAGACACTTTTCAAAAAAAAAACCATACAGATGAAAAGATGTTCAACATTATTAATCATCAGGGAAATGCAAAACAAAACAATGAGACATCACATCTCGGCATTTTAGAATGGCTATTATCAAAAAGACGAGAAATAACTAGTACTGGTGAGAATATGAAGAAAAGGAAAGCCTTCTGACTTTAAGTGAGAATGTATATTGGTACAGCCACTCTGTAAAACAATATGGAGGTTCCCTTCCCCACAAAAAAATATCCAGTCATATGATCCAGCAATTCCACTTGAGGGTATTTATCTGAAGAAAACAAAAACACTAAGTCCAAAATTAAGACAGTCCTCATATTCACTGCAGTGCATACACACATAAATATTATTCAGTCATAAAAAGAATGAGATCTTAAAAAAAAAGAATGAGATCTTACCATTTGCAACAACTTGGATAGACGGATATTAGGCTAAGTTAAATAAGTCAGACATAAAGACAAATACCATTTGATCTCTCTTATATGTGGAATTTAAAAACAAACCAAAAACCCCTCCTAGATACAGAAAACAGAGTGGTGGTTGCCAGAAGCGGGAAGTGCAGGGGTAGGTTAAGATAAAGGGGGTCAAAAAGTTACATACATACATATAGTCTTTCCATCACCCCAGCAGAGGTCCCCACATGCCACTTTCCAATCAACACCCTAGCCAAGGCAACCTGTCCTGAATAAGAGTGCTATAACATTTGTGTATAAGTGTTGTAAGAATGCAGGCTTTGGTTCTCATGGAGTGAAACTGCTGGGTCACAGTCTATGTTTAATTATATATATCTTTTGAAGTTGTTTTTGAGAGTGGTTTTATCATTTAACACTTCAGAGTTCCAGATACATCTTTTCCAACACTTGATATTCTCCACTCTTTCTTCAGTAGTATGGGCACAGCAATAGCTAGCTCACTGTATTTTTTGTTTTGTATTTCTCTAATTACAAAAGTAACAGCAGAGCCCCATCTGTACTTAGACCTCATTTAGATGATAAAACACTGGACTTCGTGGTGTCTGGGTGGCTCAGTGGTAACTTAAAGCCTCTGCCTTCGGCTCAGGTCATGATCCCGGGGTCTTGGGATCGAGCCCTGCATCGGGCTCTCTGCTCGGCGGAGAGCTTGCTTCCTCCTCTCTCTCTCCCTGCCTCTCTGCCTACTTGTGATCTCTCTGTCAAATAAATAAATAAAATC